GGGGGGGGGGGTTACGGAGGAGGAAGGGGGTACGCAGGAGGAGGGGGGGGGTATGGGGGAGGGGGCGGGGGCTCCAGCATGCAGGGGATGGGCAACTACGACCCGTCCAAGGTGAGACGGTGTGTGTGTGTGTGTGTGTGTGTGCTGTCTTGCTGGCCGTGGTGTTTCGGGGTTCGAAAGGGAAAATGGGGGTAGCTGTCGGTTCGGATCTCTCTCGGCGGAGGTTCCGTGGTTCGGTTTTTTGTTCAGACCAAAACCAGTGGGGCTCGTCGAGTGTGCAAGTGCCCCGTACCCTCCCCCACGATTATTAAACAACTCGCATTCAACCGCGGGGTAGTATGCTTCTCAGTAGTGCGGAACTACTGTACCAGCACGAGAAGAAAAGGAAGCGGTGCACTTCATTCCAATCAGTTCCAGTCGAACAGAAGCTTAACATACCTCAACCAGAGGGTATCGAACAAGCGAGTGGCTGTCTGTGCCCTGCTGTATTCGCAAGCGTCGTCCGCTTTTCGCCGTGCTATGAGCTGCCCTGGCCTGGCCTCTCACCCTGCACCTTTTTCCTGTAGGTGGGCCGGTGGTCCCTTTCAGGGCGCGACTGCCGTGGAGGCGTGTTTGTGCTGAGAAGCGTACGTTCTCTTTTTCATTCGGGAGGCTAGGTTGCACACGCGATACCTCGGAGCTTTCCTGTTTGGGGATGGCATGAGTACCGTGTACTCCAACACAAGATAGCACATTCCCTGGACCGATTTTCGAAGCTCGATTTATCACTAGCAGAGAGCGCCACAGCGCCGAAAACAAACGTCTGGTCGAAAGCTCTCCGACAATGTACTTTTTCGTTTATTTATCCTCTTCGTTGTGGAGTAGTCGAGCTTTGAAATCGGTCCAGGGTGTGTTCTTCCTTGTGTCGTATACGGTAAGACGTAGGCACTGGTGGCCAGCGCGAACGGGGTATGGATTTTTCTCTACACAAAAAGAGGCATGCTGCCCCCTGTTTCCAGAAACGCTTTGCGGAAATCTCCATTCCACGACGAGCCAATCAGTCCGGCTGGTTCGCCCACGAACACGCAAGCACCGAAGCGAACCCAAACCTTGTCGATTGTTGCCCCGCTCGTGTCGCTCGCGTGGTCAGGACAAGACTTGGCTGGAGCGCACGAGCGAGACCGTCAAGGGTTCCGTGGGGACCGGCCTAGACGCCGTTCAGCGCCGCCTTGGAAGAGGGGCGGCGGGCGGAGGGGAGGATGACCCTCGTTACCTTGCGCATAGCGGCGGCGGCGATGTGCGTTGTTGTTTGTTTGTGTGTATGTTTTTAGTGTTAGTATCGACCGCCTAACCGGCTGACCAATGAAAAGACGTCATTTTCAGTGCGGTTGAAAACACGAAACACTTGGAATTGCCATTAACTGGGACCCCGTGAGGAGGCGGCATGTGTATGTGTGTGCGTGTGTGTGCGTTCTTTTTTCGTTTCCGGCGTTTTGGTTGCCCTCTCTGAGGCTGGGCTTGCTGCCGCGTCATGTTTTTCGTGTAGCAGCAGCTGCTGCTGCTGCTGTGTTTGGTGTTGTCGGTGCTGTGGGTGCTGACGATTGTTGGCCTGTGTCACAAGTCGTCCAGAAGTGTCCTGTTTTGTCACTACGATGTTGACGGTCAAGATCTGCTGCGGTTTCTTGTTCCCTGGGGGAACTGGCTTCTCTATCCCCGGCTCCACCGAACGCTCTCACACCAGTACCAGTCGAACCGCCTTTCCACGCAAAGTGACTGTCCGCTGCTCATCTCAAACTGCATGCTGGTCCCGCTGTACCCCCCTGCTGACCGCTCTACAGGGGTTCCACAGCGGCTCCTACATGAGCAACCGAGGACCTAACGCCCCGTACGGTGGAGGAGGGGGCGGAGGCGGCGGGTACCGGTCAGAGGTGCGCCTGTTGCGGAACCCCCCCCCCCCCCCCCC